CTGTTGATTGACGGTTGAGAGGCGGGACCAAAGAACCAAAGCTCAACCCCCGCAAGCACAACTACGTGAGTACACACACACACACACACACACACACACACACACACACACACACACACACACACACACACACACACACACACACACACACACACACACGCACACACACACGCACACACACACACGCACACACGCAAGCACGCACACGCAAACGCATGTACGCACGCACTCAGGCACACGCACAAACGCACATATATAACACATATATAAACACACAAACATAGGCACGAGGAATAGCCAGGACATTTTCCCTCAGCCAGGGAAAATGACGGAGGGACATCAACACACACAGGGACAGGGGAGAATGGTGGATACTACCCATGAATGACTCAACCAGGCATTAGGGGCATTCAGCAGAGACCGGCAGGCATTGAAATTGGGATTCGGTAGAGGCAATGCAGGCATTAGTACAGAGCCAAAGGAGTGAGCTAGAGGAAGCCAGAGAGGAGATAAAGAGACTCAGGGAAAATCAGAATACGAACCAGCACATGGCATGCAACCACCTGGAAACAGGGGACGAAACTGATGGAAGGCTCCTTCCAGGGGGACTCTCTTCTGCAGAAATACTGCAGAACAGCCCAAGTGCCAAGGCCGCTCTAGAGGCTGCAGCTATGAAAGCAGCTACCTCACAGGAAGCTGCAAAATGTACTGAGCAAATGCTGGAAAGGAAAAGAGCAGTTATAGTTGTAGGAGTACAGGAACCGGAGGGATCCAATCGGGAGGAGTGGAGAAGGAGGGACCGAGCAACTATGACAGAGATCTTGGAGGGACTGGATATGGAGGAGGTAGATGGAAACATAGAGAAGGTTTTCAGGCTGGGTATCTACAAGAGGGAAAGGAAACGACTGATAAAGGTAGTGCTCATGAACGAGGCAACAAGGGAGAAAATCCTATCCAGGAAGAGCAGACTTGTGAGGTTAGGGGGATACGAGGACGTCTTTCTGCAAAGGGACATGACAAGGGAGGAGAGAAGGAAGGCTGCAGAAGCAAGGAGGAGATGCAGAGAAAGGGATGGGGATATGAGAGCCACA